TTACTATGAATGTGTGCTATTTTATCAGATTTTTATTATTTACCACGATTCAGAGTTTTTACAAAAACTTTTCTTGGTATAAATTTGGACAGATTGACGTCCACTCAAATCCTAGTTCCGGAACGATACTTTGGTCCCCATAAGTCGTACTTCAACGATAACGACGGTTGTGTTGAAAAGCCCAATAGGGGTGCGGAGAGGTCACGGTAAAATCGAGTCTTGCGATAAAATCGTGACATTTTTGAATAATTCTTAAAGTTATAAAATTTAATATATGGAAGAAAACGGAAAGTCAGCAAAACGAGGCTTGTTGGAGAAGGGCAGGATTGCGCTTCGATGAAAGAAGAATGAATACATTTCCATTCCACCGACATTTTCATAGTTTTAACTCATGAAACGCCTTGTGAATATTTGTACATTTGCCAAGTAACTAACAAGTTCTGCGAACTGATCACGATCAATAAATTATTAAAAGTTGCCAAATTAAACATATCAACTGCTAATGATTTTTTATCTAACTTTACTTTACTTTGAAAAACCGTGGCTAAAGCTGGCTTTTAGAAAAAACTGTCTTAACTAAATTCTTTCCACACCTTGTGAAGCTCAGACACATTCATCATTTTATTCATCCGCACTACATCTTACSTCAAATACATCCTAACAATAATTACTAACAATAATTATATACAATAATGGAAATTGAGTTGTCTTAAATAATGTTTATTCCTGGTAAAACGTTAAAGATCTTTTATATAAATATTTTAACGGCTACTAGTGGGAATTCACTTCTAGCTAATTATTAAATATGCACGAGCCCAGTTTTCGCGGMTTGTACAGAAAAGTATGGATATATAAGTCGCTAGTTTGAGCGACAAACCGAAAAATCGAGGAGCGAATAATACGACTTATGAAATCGGTCTAGGCATAGACTTGGTAGTGTGTTTATGCTGCATCTCACTAATGATTAATGATCAATGATTAATGATTAATGATCAATGATTAATGATTAATGATCAATGATCAATGATCAATGATTAATGATTAATGATCAATGATTAATGATTTGTTGCAATGACTTACCATCTCACGGAAATACAAGTTTGCTCTTCTTCACTTTCGATATTTCTCCTGGGAAGCGTTACTGTATACTAATATTCCTAGTAAAACGTCGTCTTTGAAATCGATCGCTTGGTCATGCATGCGCGCGGTGCAAAGGCTATCGTTTACACTTCCTTTTCAGCTGACTTGTCTTCACATGTTGATGTGTCCCACACATGTGACGATGCCTAGAGTGTCCAAAAGCTTCCGTGTTCTCTAGAGCGGAAACAAACGTGTTCAATTTTAATTTAACTTAATTTAATTTTAAAACAGTTTTCTCATTACTAGTATAAACCTACCTNTCTATTGAACAGGCTCTTGCTTTTTTTCTTTCTTTTTTATTCCCACTGACGGGCAATCCGAAGGGACGGGTTTTCTGCGACGAAAAATGATGTTCTGTTAAAAGAAAATCGAAAAAAAGAGCTGAGGGCTAGCGATTTTCTTATTTTCTATTTGCCAGTTAAAACAATTTCTTGTTAAGAAATAATTTAAAKAATTTAAATTAAATTTGTACGACGAACAAAATAAGGTGGAAAACAATATTCCAAGGATCTGAGATCAATAATTAATATTACAAAATTGGACAATTTTCAGAAATTTTCGGTGACTGCATTTCTTGTCGTTTGGTATATCTGTACCACCAAGGCTCATCSTATTGAACAGGTAAGATTGTCATATATAATTTTACATTTTTAAAGATACAAAATAATTCTTTTGTTGTTTTCACTTTTGTTGTTCGGCTGGTGCTGTGTAAACCAACGTTTAGCATTTAGATGCTTTCAGCTTCGCAGCCAAGTATGTACAATATAACTAGGTAATCTGTATGGTTATTGAACACCGAGTCGACAGTCGAGCTGAATTAAACTTCACACAATTTTTTTTTGAGCTGCGGATTCTTCCCTTCTGATAATATTGTTTTAACTTCTTTGAAACATTTCCATACCTCCCTCCCGATTACAATAGCGAAGGATTTTTTTATGTCGCACGAGTGTTTTTGTCTTTTTGCAATTAATGATCAACTAACCCCATACTCAAAAGTCGGATGGTCAGCCTCTAAATTTTATATTAATGACCGCGACTAGCTCAGAGTTTAAAATGAATTATCAATAATTATTAATGAATTATTAATAATCAATTATGCAGTAGGATTGAGTTTAATTAGATTTTTTTCTGTCATTTGTTTGAGCTAACCGCATCTCTGATATTATGTAGGTAGAGATTTCTCAGTCAGGTGAGTTCAAAGTCCATATTTTGGAGAGAGGCACCAAGTTTCAAGAGAAAATCTACATTGACCAGCAAAATGACATCGAGTATTTCAAAGTACCACCACACAATGGCAATATTGAGTCGGATCATCTGTACGACTTCAGAATGGTAGGAGATAGCAAATGACTTGTTTTTGACAGGAAAAAAAACCCAAAAAACAAAAAGCAATAAATGCATGCCTTTTTAGACGTTGAAATATGAGATATGACCCTTTCAGAACTGGCAAATCTGCAGAAGTGTCTTCCAGATATTTATTCTAATATGAATCAGCGTTATCTTTTCTGGCTTTGTGTCGCTAATTTTGTATTTTTACATTATTTTGCAGAACATCACAGTTAGCCGTGTGAAGAAAGATGGTGTTTGTCATGTCTCACCACTGCCAGATGACCTTCCAAGACCAGACTTACTATCTCAAGGACTAAAATCGGTAAGATAGAAAACGCAGTAACTGTGCAATGGTAACTCTAAAAGTCAATCCTGAGATAAAACTTTTTTTTTTGCTGACGTGTACATTTAATTTGTTCCCTTGTTTCAGTTTTCTAGCACGGGTCAAAATGCGACGATCAAAACGGTGTCTATGCGTTGGACACGTGGTCCAGAGGTCGACAAAACCATTTTAAGAAAGGAAGTACGTGACTTTTGTGGTCAGTTCCCAGTCTACCAATTGGTACCTTTTAATCCTGACTTGGTGTCAGCATTTAATAGCGGTGAGTCTCTTCAAGTACGTTAGAAAGGAAAATTTGCTTCATGCACATGAAGTATTTGAAACGGCATATTCAGGATGCATTTTAGTAAAACGTTCTTGAAAATTTTGAATTGGTAATTGTTTCGATCTTAAGTTAGTGTAGATATGGATGAGAAAATTTTCAGTTCTGTCACCCTTGCTGAATCGTTTCCAACTTGACATGATCTTGAGCAAATTTTCTTTGGTTTGAGCTCGAGAGAAGTGTCAGAAGTGTCAGTGGCTCTGTATGAACTCGGAGCCTTTCAGAAATATTTACCCAGATATTGAAAAAGTTATCGATGTAGACCAAAACTTCTCTCATTGATTGAAATTAATTTAGTTTTAAAAATGTGTACAAACAGTGAAAGTGGGCTCCCTGTGTATTAACAAGAAATCAAAATTGTAATTTCCTCTTTCAATGATAAGCCCGCAGATTTGCGGAATTATTTTAGCCTACCTTCCACGYCAACAACTGAGTGTGTATGTAGGGGACGAATCTCACACTAAGATTTTGAACGGTATTGTTCTGTTTCCAGGTCGAGTAAAGCGTTCATTAGTGGCCTTTCCACTCTGCAACCCAAAAAGTTTGCCTGGTAGTTGCAATCCCATGTCTTGGCTTTGGTCTTGCAAGATCCGAGATACAAGTGGTGTCTATTATTTGACGTGCAAAATCAATGCACTGATGAAAAAATTGGATTGTGGTGATCTTAGTGCGACTGACCATCGATTTAACAGTTTCGTTTGCTGTAATCCCAAGTGCCCCTAAGCACATATAASCGGCTGCGTTATCAATGATATTGTGGTCGGGCTACTCCTTTATAGTACACACATACAAATAACAATTATCTTTAAGAAATTCTGTACTTTTTACTATGCTTTTAATCAATAAACGCTAACATCCTTCTCTACACAAGTGTAGTGATTGACCGAATAAAGGCCCACGTGCATCTAAGAACCTCGGCAACAATTTCTTTCTTTTCAACAAAGGATCATACAAAAAACAGAAAAAAATCGACTGCAGGGTTATTTGAATACACATGGCCCTTTGACTACATCGAAACTTTGGCTTCATGCAGTGCTAAAGCACCGGAATCTGCTTTTGGTGTGAAATTGAATAGTTTAAGTAATGTTCCGTTTTAGAAGCAGGCAAGCAAACTATCTATATACCCGATAAAACACGCACTCGAGTTCTATAAACGACTTCTAGAACTCCAACATTCAGAAATTGTTATCATTTTAGAAAAAAGCTAAAAAAAATGCGAAAACAGTGATAATACATATTGAACTTCTAATGAGCATGTGCATTGTGCGACAATTGAAAGAATTTTGATCCCACACAAAAGAACGGCTAGTCTAGCTATAGGTCCATGTCGGCACATTAGAACGTATTCGCATAACCCACTTTTTAAATGCTAATGAGCTTGCTAATATTCTAATGAGATTGGCACAAGAAACAAAAGAGCAAAAACATGCTTGAGTGATTTCAGTAGCGAATATTATTTCAAAACTATTTTGAGCTCAGTTCAATAAATGCAAAATTTCAAAARGAAACATTTTTATTTAAGCTATACAGCTAGAGTGAAGGCATTGATCCTGTGAAATAAAAGTTAATAATTAAACTGTAATAGTCAAATAGACACAAAAGAAAATAATGGAATTATCGAGTAATAACATGTAATAGTCAAATATGTATTTCACGGGTTCATTGACTTCACTCTATCTCAACTTCTCGTAAACTACATGCAAGTAATTAGATTAGACGCGGCAAAAGATCGACGTCTGAAACGGACCTCATTGTCCAGAATTGGTTTTGATTCTAGTATCGACGGGTTGTGGAAGTCTGCAATGCTTGTTTTATAATTCTTCCCATGCGCCCAATTCATTTAAAACAATTTATTATGAAACAATACATTATGAACCGCTTAAAAGAAACGATCTGTTGGTCAAAACAAGGAATTTTCAATCTTGTAGCCAATAACTGTTGAAATTGGTTWACTTTAATAATAAAAATGTTTCCGTTTGAAATTGTGTATTTATTGAACTGAGCTCAAAATAGTAATATTTTGAAATCACTCAAGCATGTTTTTGCTCTTTTGTTTCTTACGCCAATCTCATTAGAATATTAGCAAAACTCATTAGCATTTAAAAAGTGGGTTATGCGAACACGTTCTATTGATTCAAACTGATTTAAAACCTAGCAAAGGTCTATGATGCGACATTAAAACTGAGACCTTTACTAGTGTTGGGTTGCGACAAAGCGCTGATGAACTTGATCAGTTCTTTATATCTGATATAGAACTGATTAATAAAACATCAGTTCTATATATCTGATATAGAACTGATTAATAAAACATCAGTACTTTATCGTATATAAAGTCCCATCAAGTGACGCAATAGTTCGATGCTCATTGGACTAATAGCTCATGACTTATTAATGAGTTCTAGAAAAAGAATTCAAAAACTCACTAATTATTCATGAGGTATTCAGCCAATCCCTGATTGTAATTTGTACCACGTGCAGTAACTTGAAACCAGAGGAAGTACTCCTACCCTTATTAGAACGTGTTCGCATAACCCACTTTTTAAATGCTAATGAGTTTTGCTAATATTCTAATGAGATTGACACAAGAAACAAAAGAGCAAAAACATGCTTGAGTGATTTCAAAATATTACTATTTTGAGCTCAGTTCAATAAATACACAATTTCAAACGCAAACATTTTTATTATTAAAGTTAATCAATATCAACAGTTATTGGCTACAAGATTGAAAATTCCTTGAATGCCAACAGATCGTTTCTTTTAAGCGGTTCATAATGTTAATTTAAATTATTTTAAATAAATTGGGCGCATGGGAAGAATTATAAAACAAGCATTGCACACTTCGACAACCCGTCGATACCTGGGTGATTGATTTACGACCAGGCCTGCATATGAATTCGCCAAGGTTGTAAGCCGTGCATTTTTGTTAAGCGGTAATATCTGAAAGTGTAAATAAAGAAAAGGGAAAACCCGCAACTCGCCTTTCACTCAGACAAAAAGTACAAGTCGTGTTAAATTTATTTAAATAGCTAAACAAAATGATTATAGAATTAAATCTTTAAGAATTGAATGCTCATATGAAACATTTTCAACCTTAAATACACACGTGTTTTTCAGAAGGGAATTTAGTCGATCTTTTTTCACGATGGAATTTTGTTTTGAGTCGCTTCGACATAAACAGAAGCTATCAAGCCATTACACGAAAAACCCCAGTCACCGTTCTTGCTCTCGTTGTAAGGTCAAAGCTAGTAAATGTGTAACTGACCTGTTACATAACGTCAAATCGTCGAGCACGCTTGCGGCTTATTGCCGAAAATGCGACAAAGAATGAACTTCGACAGTTGTTTGTACCACAAATAACAAACGCTTTAACTCTATTGGAATACGTGGACCTACCTAAGCTGCTCTAGCTCTTCCAGTGATGTTGTAGATACCTCAAAGCTTAGAGGAAACAAGAGCTAAGAAAAAGGATCCTCCTAAGATACTTTGTACTTGAACATCGCTTCAACGACCTTCTGAAGTCTTCGTGAAGTCGGCCATTGCTTCGCATGCAATAGAGAACCCGCGTAGAACACAGAACAATTATTTTTATCAGGGAGGAGAGTCTCGTGGTATTAAAGAAAAAATTATTTGGTATTTCATTTTTAAGATGAAATTCTATTTCTATAACGATAAATATTTGATTNACTTGAGCCAGGTCTACGTCCGCTTTACATTAAGGGCTAACCCAGATACGACTGCTCTCATGTGGCTTTGATAGCTCAGTTGGTAGAGCATTGCACCGGTATCGCAAAGGTCGTGGGTTCGAATCCCGTTCAAAGTCAGATTTTTTCTGGCTTCTTTTCCAGTAGTAGGCTGCATTCGCATTTCAATTTATTCTCTCCAACTACTGAAGGACATACATATATATTCATCTATTCGACTTGAGCCAGGTCTACGTCCGCTTTACATTAAGGGCTAACCCAGATACGACTGCTCTCATGTGGCTTTGATAGCTCAGTTGGTAGAGCATTGCACCGGTATCGCAAAGGTCGTGGGTTCGAATCCCGTTCAAAGTCAGATTTTTTCTGGCTTCTTTTCCAGTAGTAGGCTGCATTCGCATTTCAATTTATTCTCTCCAACTACTGAAGGACATACATATATATTCATCTATTCGACTTGAGCCAGGTCTACGTCCGCTTTACATTAAGGGCTAACCCAGATACGACTGCTCTCATGTGGCTTTGATAGCTCAGTTGGTAGAGCATTGCACCGGTATCGCAAAGGTCGTGGGTTCGAATCCCGTTCAAAGTCAGATTTTTTCTGGCTTCTTTTCCAGTAGTAGGCTGCATTCGCATTTCAATTTATTCTCTCCAACTACTGAAGGACATACATATATATTCATCTATTCGACTTGAGCCAGGTCTACGTCCGCTTTACATTAAGGGCTAACCCAGATACGACTGCTCTCATGTGGCTTTGATAGCTCAGTTGGTAGAGCATTGCACCGGTATCGCAAAGGTCGTGGGTTCGAATCCCGTTCAAAGTCAGATTTTTTCTGGCTTCTTTTCCAGTAGTAGGCTGCATTCGCATTTCAATTTATTCTCTCCAACTACTGAAGGACATACATATATATTCATCTATTCGACTTGAGCCAGGTCTACGTCCGCTTTACATTAAGGGCTAACCCAGATACGACTGCTCTCATGTGGCTTTGATAGCTCAGTTGGTAGAGCATTGCACCGGTATCGCAAAGGTCGTGGGTTCGAATCCCGTTCAAAGTCAGATTTTTTCTGGCTTCTTTTCCAGTAGTAGGCTGCATTCGCATTTCAATTTATTCTCTCCAACTACTGAAGGACATACATATATATTCATCTATTCGACTTGAGCCAGGTCTACGTCCGCTTTACATTAAGGGCTAACCCAGATACGACTGCTCTCATGTGGCTTTGATAGCTCAGTTGGTAGAGCATTGCACCGGTATCGCAAAGGTCGTGGGTTCGAATCCCGTTCAAAGTCAGATTTTTTCTGGCTTCTTTTCCAGTAGTAGGCTGCATTCGCATTTCAATTTATTCTCTCCAACTACTGAAGGACATACATATATATTCATCTATTCGACTTGAGCCAGGTCTACGTCCGCTTTACATTAAGGGCTAACCCAGATACGACTGCTCTCATGTGGCTTTGATAGCTCAGTTGGTAGAGCATTGCACCGGTATCGCAAAGGTCGTGGGTTCGAATCCCGTTCAAAGTCAGATTTTTTCTGGCTTCTTTTCCAGTAGTAGGCTGCATTCGCATTTCAATTTATTCTCTCCAACTACTGAAGGACATACATATATATTCATCTATTCGACTTGAGCCAGGTCTACGTCCGCTTTACATTAAGGGCTAACCCAGATACGACTGCTCTCATGTGGCTTTGATAGCTCAGTTGGTAGAGCATTGCACCGGTATCGCAAAGGTCGTGGGTTCGAATCCCGTTCAAAGTCAGATTTTTTCTGGCTTCTTTTCCAGTAGTAGGCTGCATTCGCATTTCAATTTATTCTCTCCAACTACTGAAGGACATACATATATATTCATCTATTCGACTTGAGCCAGGTCTACGTCCGCTTTACATTAAGGGCTAACCCAGATACGACTGCTCTCATGTGGCTTTGATAGCTCAGTTGGTAGAGCATTGCACCGGTATCGCAAAGGTCGTGGGTTCGAATCCCGTTCAAAGTCAGATTTTTTCTGGCTTCTTTTCCAGTAGTAGGCTGCATTCGCATTTCAATTTATTCTCTCCAACTACTGAAGGACATACATATATATTCATCTATTCGACTTGAGCCAGGTCTACGTCCGCTTTACATTAAGGGCTAACCCAGATACGACTGCTCTCATGTGGCT